TACATGACGTTAGATAAATATTGTAGAGTCATACGAGCAACATCACTGAGCAGCTGAGGCAGAACTGAAGGGGGAAACACATTCACAGGGCTGGTAATAGACCCAGACATAAACCCTTGCGTAGGCCCGTAGAAATGTAAGGCTTAGCTTGCACTCAATAATTCAGACTACAGAATATTTCTATTTTCCTCTCACCCAACCTCCTCTCTCTCCCTCTACATCAACAATTTATTGCCTCTGTAACTGTGCAATCAGAGTAGCCCCATTCAGTATAACCTTGTCCTTTCATCATAATCCTCAGTGCACAAAGCAGGCAGAGACAACAAAGGAGAAGGCAATGAAGACAAAGAGAGGAAGAGCAGGAGGGAGACGAGTTGAGAACACACTTTACAACGGGGGAATAGCACTTCTTGGATTATTTGGCTAAACACAAGACTTATTTCAGTGGGACGAGAGAAGCAATGATCTGGACTGGGCAAATACTGCAAGGTCAATAGCTGAATGAAGTAGGCATCAATGACAACATCCACTCAAAGTATTTCATCATGACCCAGTCCTACAGTAGCAGAATAAAAAGTATGCAATAATGTTTTAAGTGCTGGGGCACTGAGCTCAAATTGGTTCTTTTGGAGGTCAATAAAAGAGCCACACATAAACCCACAGTTACTTTGCTTCTTGCACTGCTTTAAATATTTACACTAAGCAAGGCTGCACATTAATTAATTAAAAAAAAACAACCTTAAAAGCTGTGTTGAAAGTACACCAAATATTCTGCAACAGAAGTACTACTATTAATGTTGTGTTTAAAAATGTTACTTGAGAAAAGGGAAGTGGCTACTCTTAAAAATAGCACTGCTCATCTGTCAAAAGTTTGGATATATACTAAAATCATTATGCAAAAAAAAAAAAAAATTTAATTTCATTTTTTATCCAGCGTGGGTTAAGAAAAATATAATCAAAATAAAAATGTAACAAGCCCTAGAAGACTACTCAAAAGTAAGACTGAATAAATAAATGATAGTGAGCTAAATATTTAATTGATTGTACGAGACAAAATGTTTTTTTATATCTCTGATCAGCTTATGAAAAAAAAAGAATTCATTTTACGCCCTGAAGCTTAATTTTTCCACTCATTTCTCCTATATTCTCACCACTGGCACCTGTTTAATTATTCAAACATTTCCCATTCTCTTTCTTGCTAGCATCATAATTACAAGTGCATCCATAATGCCTGCGCATATAAATGAAGAGTGTAAAATATCATACTATATGATTATATAGTTTGTATCTAATTATCATGAGACAGAGTGTAATATTGTGGCCTCTGGTCTTGTGCTATTTAAAAAATAAAGCTGTTGGAATGCTAAATACACTGAAATTTTCAGGAGTATTATCAAAAAACAAGAATTGTTGAATTAGCTGGTTATTACAGGTATCTTATCACTTGCACTGTACTCCATCTGTCTTTTAAACCGCATACCAGCTACTGCTATTAAAGATGAAGTAATCAGTTACCTTCCAGCTCTGGCATTTTGTAATTTGGTCATGAGGCATGCAAACACAGAATAAGACTTTACAAGGAAAGAAAACTATTCTACGTGTTGTGAAGCATTAATGATATGGGATAGACTGAGTACTGCAATGCATATTGTGCAGGGAGTAGTAACAGTGTTGTTTATGGACAGAGTTAGACAAGCCAGGAGATCCCTAATACAGACCAGCCACTAAAGCAGATCAGGGACCTCAGGGGTTCCTGTGGGTACTAAGGATTGTATTTTATTGGGCATAAAAAGCTCAGAGAGGGAGATGTGTGCCAGGTCGTAAAACAAATCAATTGATTACTGGGAGGATAGCTTTGCTGACATGAAACCCCTGAAATTATTGCAGTGATTCACAGGTTGTGTGTTTGGTGTTTTCTTGCCTGTGTGTGCATATATGAAAACTAGAGAGTGTTTGTATGCGGGGCCATTATGCTCATAGTATCGCTATGTCAAATAATTATCATATGAATAATGATTATTTTCTTCCAGCGAACTCACATAAAAAAAATCTCATGATGAAGAGGGCTTATCAACTTTCAGCCTAGACTGGCCAATGGTAATGCGTGGATGGTGCAGGGGGAGGAGTATATGATGATTGGCGGGCTCTTTGACCAATCAGGACACTGTACTTTTAAAAAAAGAGCGACGTCATAGGCGATAATAAATCTCTCCGCCTCCATCTCAACGCCCGAGACTTTTCTCAACACAAAAGCAAAATGTCCGCTGGATGGTCGAAGGCAGTGCAGCTCCGGGTCTGCGGTTATTTGGAGCAAAAAAAGGCCGTTTTTTCGCCACCGGGAAGCCGCCCAACACTGACTACAAACCAGAAGGACAATAAAGTCTGACTGACAGAAAAATACGTTGGACTTGTCAAATGTAAACAGTGTATCAGTTGCTAATTACCTTCACTCCGTATGGTGGATCATCGAATGTAACTAGCATGTACCTGTCGCCTCTACTAGCCGGGTCTCGGGCACGCAGCTGTCAAAAAAAGAAAACCAAAAACAACATATATTAATTTCGACCGACCTTGCCCAAGGAACCCTAAGCTCAACAAAGGTGCATACTTGCTGGAAAAAAGTCGGGGTAAAATCATTCGTTACCTTCATAAAGACCTCAACCGCGCCTTTAGCAACGTCCAGATACGTCGTACCCAAATAAGTGCGCTGATTCATAGAGGCGGACGTGTCTAACAGGAAAAGTAAAATAGGCATTTTAAATGTAAAGCCGCGGCTGTATGCTTTTCTAAAATTACTGTTATACACATGTGACCTATCGTGCGGCCAAACAGTTCACACATGTGTGTATATATATTTGTTATAATAAGCCCCCCCCTCCAGAAGAGGGCCGTTGCCTCTGCTCTCTCTCTATCTGCCTTTCTAGAGCTCTGTCTCGGCTCGCGCTGTTCAACTTCTGCTCCTAACCGAATGGAACGCCCCGCTCCCTCCACTGCGACGCCATTGGCCGAGCCCGATTCCACTGACCACGCCCCCAATAATATATAAATATATAACGAGGTCGCGATGGCGTGTGTGTATACAGTACATCCGCCTGCCGTTTCTGTTGTATGTATGCTAAAGGGGTGGGTATTCAAAAGTGTTGTCCATGGTGCTGTGATCCTCACCACAGAGTAGCATATGTGTCCGGACTGCATCAGACAACTGATAATACGCTAGCTGTATAGATCATATTAATAGACATGAATTGTCTTGCCAATTCCCTCGCATCCCGCCCCCCTCACACACACACACACACACACACACACACAGCCTCTCTCTTTCTCAAATCCAATCTCTCTCTCTTTCTCCCTCCTGTCACTCTCATGCTGCGTTCAAGGCACCTCATAAGGTTCGTCCTTCCGCCTCTCCAACACAACATAACAAGACCACGTGCAGTTCCATGGCCTAACCAAGACAACAAAATATTCTGGGACTGTTCTTTCTGTTCTGTACTTGTCAGAGGAAAGGGGGTGGGAAGTTGAGGGTGACTTCCTGTTTTTTTTTTGTTTTTTTTTTTGGTTTTTTTTTTTTTATCTTCCCTAAAGCTGCAAATATTTGAGCCTCCCTGAGTAACTGGCGGAAAATGTCTGACCCTCCCTCCACCATAAATTAGTTATTAGATTTTTAAGTATCGTTTGATGTTTGAAAGTTAAAATGTTATTGATGATGAAATCCTGGAATTAAACTCATCAGGCATGCTGATTAGTTAGTGCAAATGGGTTATTTTGGGCCAAATATTAAATGAGATGTAGAATAAAGGAATTTTAATAATCACTATTTTAAGCTGATTTTTTTGTTTGTTTGACAGAAGCATTCATGGCACGTGATGTGTCCAGGGACCATCCCTTAAAAAAAATATCTGTGGTAATATAAATACCAAATGCAACCATTTACCTTTGTAAGCCCCTCCCCTAAGCCAAAATATAAAAAGATAAGTCCCTCCCCAGTGCTAAAAAAAAAAAAAATTCCCCCCCCCCCCCCCCCCCCCCCCCCCTCACAACTAACGAACAGTCTCTTATTTGGACTGTTTAGTGCCATACTTACAATATATATTAATGGGGTACTGTAACAGCAAAATTAAGGAATAATTCACATTAAGGTTTAAAACTGTGCAGAGACAGAACGAATGCAAATAGAAATATTCAAACAGACCCCAAAAACATGTTATGATGGAAATATAACAGCGAAAAGGTCAGCTTTCACAATCAAGCCTCTTACACCATCAAATGATCGCAATAAATCCGACAGCATTTGAGGGCAGCATCACTTGCAATATGGGCATTCTTGATCCGTCTTTTTAACACTTAATCAAACGCCCTATCATTAAATTACAAATGGCCACAAGCTTGTGTTTATTATAGACTCAGACTTTATATCAAAAGAGATTAGAATAAATTATCTCTTGGATTTAAAGGTTAGTGGAAGGTCACAGTGGCCAGCCACAGACACAATGCCTACCTGCAGATGAAGGCCTTATCGCTCCTGGACAGGTTTGTCCACAGTATGCTGCATGTTTTGTGTAACACTTGCATTTGTTTTTCTGTGTTTGCTGCGAATGAAAAGTAGGTTGCATGGAGGGGAAATCTAGTTTTTCGGATTCAACATCAACCTGACTCTGAATGTAGAGTTGAGGCTTTTTTTATGCCTAGCTTGGTAGACAATTATATTCTTTAAGGATACTCGTGGTGAAACACTTCGAAAATCAATTCGCTTCAGTCCATAGTGGAAGTAGCTGTCTGTCACAATGTTTAGCTTCTTTGTACTTTAACAGGCTTATTATTCTAGTTCAGTTAATATCTCACAGTATTCCGCAGATATAACTGATTTGTTGTGCTTTAGGGCCTTTATAACACGCCTACATGCTTTACACAAGCAACGTTTTGAAGTTATTACCACACATCTCACTCCTTGCTTGGAGCTTTTTACGTCGGCTTTGTTGACGTCTTGCACGCACTCTCTCGCCCTCCGCCGTCCCGGCATGCACCGCGAGGTCTGCAGTATATTATTGACAAAGAAAAAAGGGCTGAAGAGAAACAACAACGGGGTGGGATCAGAGGCACAAACCGAGGTGATAGCACCGACGTTACACGGACCTGTGTGCTGACAACAAGGTAAAGTCTCACTCTGTGTGTTGTCTTCAAATAAAACGGCTCTATGTTTTATTTCCTGTAATGACACTGCGCGTAGACGGCGATAAGTGGCTATCAGCTAACATCTGGGGGTTTCCTAGCCGGCTAACGCTAACACTATTGTACAGCGTTAGCATTACACCATAACGATGTGTTATTACAGTGTTACAGCGTGTTAATGCGGTCATACTGTGGGGTTCAGTTAGAGAGTAGCCACAAATATGGTTGAATTTTCTTTAAATGTCACTGTTGCCTAATATACAACCAACATATTGGCACAAATATCTAATTTCTTGTGTCTGTTTACGTTGTCACCGACCATTACAGTGCACTTTAAAGGTAGCTTACATTTTAAGCTTACACGACACCGACACACAAAGATGGCACGATACTTAATCATAAAATATATATCTCAGTAATAAAAACCCAACTAAAAAGCTTCGCTGCTGGCGTTATATTAAACCAATCGTGATGTTTATGGGTACATGGAGAGCAAAGTGTTGCGACACAACGAGTGGTTCCTTGTAACCATGTAAACACTCAAGGGCACGTGACCAGCCACATGGCGTGTACCTAACACTGTTTGCTTTGTTGAACTTAAGTTATTTAAACTTGAACTAAATTGCCCCGACCCTCTGTTATTGCCCTGCTCTGCCTTCATCCCTTTATCTCCCCATGAAATCCTGCATTTAAAGTTAGTTTTTAGCGTACAGCTTTGTAAGTGGTCCCTCTCAGATCAAAGTATATATGTATATATGCAGTATACACTGCCTGGCCAAAAAAAAGGTCATACACTCTAATATTTCATTGGACCGCCTTTAGCTTTGATTACGGCACGCATTCGCTGTGGCATTGTTTCGATAAGCTTCTGCAATGTCACAAGATTTATTTCCATCCAGTGTTGCATTAATTTTTCACCAAGATCTTGCATTGATGATGGTAGAGTCTGACCGCTGCGCAAAGCATTCTCCAGCACATCCCAAAGATTCTCAATGGGGTTAAGGTCTGGACTCTGTGGTGGCCAATCCATGTGTGAAAATGATGTCTCATGCTCCCTGAACCAGTCTTTCACAATTTGAGCCCGATGAATCCTGGCATTGTCATCTTGGAATATGCCCGTGCCATCAGGGAAGAAAAAATCCATTGATGGAATAACCTGGTCATTCAGTATATTCAGGTAGTCAGCTGACCTCATTCTTTGAGCACATACTGTTGCTGAACCTAGAGCTGACCAACTGCAGCAACCCCAGATCATAACACTGCCCCCACAGGCTTGTACAGTAGGCACTAGGCATGATGGGTGCATCACTTCATCTGCCTCTCTTCTTACCCTGATGCGCCCATCACTCTGGAACAGGGTAAATCTGGACTCATCAGACCACATGACCTTCTTCCATTGCTCCAGAGTCCAATCTTTATGCTCCCTAGCAAATTGAAGCCTTTTTTTCCGGTTAGCCTCACTGATTAGTGGTTTTCTTAAGGCTACACAGCTGTTCAGTCCCAATCCCTTGAGTTCCCTTCGCATTGTGCGTGTGGAAATGCTCTTACTTTCACTATTAAACATAGCCCTGAGTTCTACTGTTGTTTTTCTTCGATTTGATCTCACCAAACGTTTAAGTGATCGCCGATCACGATCATTGAGGATTTTTTTCCGGCCACATTTCTTCCTTGAAGACGATGGGTCCCCACTATCCTTCCAGTTTTTAATAATGCGTTGGACAGTTCTTAACCCAGTTTTAGTAGTTTCTGCAATCTCCTTAGATGTTTTCTCTGCTTGATGCATGCCAATGATTTGACCCTTCTCAAACAGACTAACATCTTTTCCATGACCACGGGATGTGTCTTTCGACATGGTTGTTTAGGAAATGAGAAGCAACTCATTGCACCAGTTGGGGTTAAATAACTTGTTGCCAGCTGAAAGATAATCGCCCATGCAGTAATTATCCAATAGGAGGCTCGTACCTATTTGCTTAGTTAAATCCAGGTGGCGACTTTTTTTTTTGGCCAGGCAGTGTATATGCCTGTAAGTCTCAAGAAATTGCATTAGTGAAATGATGACGTATTTTGTTTATGGTCATTAGCATAATCAATATACTGTTATTTGATTTTTATTAACTCTCAATTATTGACGTTGGCCTTGGCCTCAAAAGTCCAGTATCAGTTGTGCTGTGGTTGAATTTTTGGTAGTGCACCATATGAGCTTTATTGTATTTATCACATGCACAATGTTTAAGTACAAAGTAATGAAAAACAACAGATTTTGGACTCATAAATGCAACATTTTCTCATGACATGTAGTGTAATAAAAAATGAGTGTCTTAAAATGTATTTAAGTATTATACCACTGCCTCTTATTGTGTCTCTTCACAGTCCCAAGTCATGGCCCTGAGGCGATGAGAGTGGGAAGTGCCGTTTCCACCTGAAGGGATTCTACACAGCTCGAGAGTTTGTGGAGAGAAGGGTGGGGGGCCCAGGCAGACCGTGGACGGGGAAGGAGAAGAGCTCAGCTGGAGCCAATGCAGCAGCAGCATCGACAGCCTGAGCTGGTGGAAGGAAGCCTTCCCGTGTTCGTGTTCCCCACTGAGCTCGTCTTCTATGCAGATGAGCAGACGTCTCACAAGCAGGTGCTCACCCTCTACAACCCCTATGAGTTCGCCCTCAAGTTTAAAGGTCAGTCGGCAGAGTCGGTCCAAACCAAAACAATCCATTTGGGATTCTGTGTATGATGTATTATTTGTGTCACACACTCCAGGTTATTTAGATAAACTTTTCTTTTTTCTTGTTATCAGTGCTGTGCACAGCGCCAAACAAGTACACTGTGGTGGATGCCACCGGAGCTGTTAAGCCACAGTGTTGTGTTGACATGTGAGTCTGTCTTTTTTCATGTAGTGATAAAACAATAAAGGGACTACATTCCTTATCTACAAGCTTGTTGTTCCCTGTGGTTTTCCATCTGTGTTATCATTGTTTACTAAACATTAACTTTTATGTTTGTTGGGCAGTGTTGACTGTATGTTTTGAGCCAGATGGTTGTTTATACAACTGACCTGCCCATCTGGTGAAGTAAGTAGCCTGTCTTAATTTCTGTGCCCACACAGAGTAATCAGACACCGGGATGTGCGTGCATGCCATTATGGGGTGTACGACAAGTTCCGACTGCAGGTGTCGGAGCAGAGTCAGCGGAAAGCTCTGGGTCGCAAAGAGGTGACGGCCACGCTCCGTCCCTCTGCCTCACAGGAGCCGCCCAGCCCCCGGCCCCAAGATGAGGAACGCAGAATCAAAGAGCAGTTCGCAGACAGCGAGTTTTTTGAACAGACTGCATTTCAGACAGGTAGGATGAAGGACTGCTCTGTGGTCTCACCACTAGATGGAGCCAAATGCTCATAAACTCAAATTCAGGAACTTATTACCATTTACTGGGGCTATGTTTAGTAGCTATCTGCCTATCTGTCTTATCTAGTTTAAAAAAGATATTGGTCTCACAGACATAGTATGACAAGAATAACATACAGGTTGTAATTTTGGCATTTGATCTTGCAGCAAGGTAGGTGTCTGTCCTGTATTGCTGATACCATGTTAACCTGCTTCCTGTTCAGACTATCGCACACATAGTTACATCTTTTCACACAATCATAGCTTAATTTTTCTGCATTCAAACCAGTAGTACAAATCAAAGCCTTAATGTGTTCAAGATAAGATGAATCTTCATTTTATGCATGTGCTGCTGTAACTGCTTTAACAAACACACAAATGCTGAGGTGGCAGAGTAGTCACTTGTACCAGCACCTGCAGAAAATGTGTTAAAGGATAAAAACCTACATACACCTACAATGAATTGATCCTACCAACAAGTACTGTCTGTGTATCCAAAGCCTGATAGATATTATTCCCCTCAGCCTCCTCATCAGTGAACCACACCTTCGCACTGGGTAACATCTTCCTGCATTACCATGAACCCACACTAAAGTTTATTTTGAGTCATTCCTGCATACACCATCCTGCTGCTGTAAATACTAAGTAGAGCACCAAATCTGCGCTATAAAATAGTCTCCAACAGATACTCTATTTATTCCAGGTTGAGTAATGCTTGCTAAAAACTACAGTGCCCTGCTGTTTTAAAAAAAAGACTCAATAAGTATTTGTTTGTAACCAAATCAGCTATTAAAGCTGGTTGCACCATGACTACTTGGGGCATAAGTTCTTTCGTCATGGTTACCATGCACATTAGCTCTCTGGCTGACAGGAGCCACTTGTCTCCATGGTGCAACTGCTTTGATTTTTAGTAATGCATAAATAACAACTTAGTAACTGGTAAATCAGGCTGTTGACCCATTATTACAGATTAATGTATTTATTAATAAGCCAGAGACAGACTGGCGAGTATTGAAAGACAATCTAATGCATTGTTGGTTTTGCTTTTTTCATGGGCTTTGTTCACATCCTTTAAAATATATTACTTGTCAGCCATTCTGAGTGATGCATCTGATGGCAGTGTGTGCATCTGTGTGCACCTGACAGAGAGCCGTCCTGTTGCTGGAGGCCCCAGTCTGCTGACGGTGCTGCTTGGGCTGGTGTGTATGGCCGCCCTGATGCTCCCGACCCTGGGGGAGCAAGAATCTACTGTGCCTGTCTACCTCCACTTAAGTGTTAACAAGAAACTTGTAGCTGCTTATGTTCTCGGTAAGTAACACAAACCTGTCTAATAGGCAAAGACAGAATGTATGTTGAAAAACTAAATGTGAACTACACCGCTGTTGTTCAATATCCTGTTCTGTGTCTTGTTGTATTTTAGGTCTTCTTACGATGGTCATACTGCGCACATGAAGTGCCGTGAGCTGAGAGGAGGAGGGGAAATGACCTAAAGGACGACGAGAACATCCTCACACCAGAGGCACTGCGACACTTAAATGAGTACAGCTGACAGCAGAGGAACGTGGTACTTACTCAGTTCACCTCGTCCCCCTGAAAAATACATTTTAGGATACTTGTTTTCAAATCCACACGTTTGTGTTAATACGTAAACTGACACAATACTGAACTGACGCAAACAGCGGAGACCTCGGGCGCATAGGTCAAAGGAATGGTAGTGTGAGAAGAGCTGTCCCTGAGCAGGGCCTGTGAAGAAACATGAGGCCATTTATAAAGTGTTTGACCTCATATTTCCTGTGTCTGTATTTTTATTGCCATTATGTAACAGAATATGGTTAACTTGAGTGTAAAGGAATCGACATGCAAACATTACACATGTATATAAAGCCATTAAAGTTTTGTTATGGTATTCACCTGTAACCATCATTATATTGATGTTTCAAAGCATTTTTAGTGTAGGCTCTGAGGACTAAATGCAGTTTTTTGCATGTGTGGATACCTTATCTGGAGGAGTATTTGTTTTTTCCAGCAGTAAGGTATTTTTACATGTCACCAAAGGAAAGATCTTCTTTTGAAGACAATGGTTTGTTCGCAGTACTATATCAATGCTCCATCAAACGTTTAATAAAAGACTCAATACAGATGTCTGGTATGATGTTTATAGATTAGGTTATTTAATGTACGTAACACGCTGGGTCAGTGAGGTTTAGCGCACATTACTTGGTCATAAGGCCTCTGTTAGCTTTGTATTGATGACAATAACTGTTCATTAACAGAGGCCTGTACCATGAAGCAGCTTCATCTTACCCAGGCTATCTTTCTGTTATCTGGTTTGACTAACCTTGACACTGGCCGTCTGGATAACCTGTACTACAAAGCTGGTTATCAACCAGTTCAGTCAAAGTGTTAACGACTACAGTCAAATGTCAATGGCGTGGGATGTAGAGGATATTCTACAATCCCATTTTATAACAGAAATGTAGAAATATAAAAAATACTATCCATAAAGTTATTGTCAGCCGAGACTTAAATTATGTTTAGGTATCACTAGGCCTATATGGGACATTAGTTCAGAGTGTTTTTTGTTATTTAGTTATCTGATGATGAAACTACTTCAAGTATGTCACATAAAACACTTCAAAGTTATGTCAGACTGTTACTGCTGCTGAAGTAACGGGTGGGAAAGTAGTTAATGACTGATGATGTCTGTTTGACCAAAATGTTGCATTTGTAATAACTGGAGACATTTTAAAATGTATGGATTTTTTTTACTAGTTCTAGTCACACAGGTATCTCATGCTATTTTGAGCTGTAGTCATGTTATCAGTGTAAAACAGCAACGCTATCGCTGCAGACTCAAATAAAATTCTGCTAAAATCATGTCCTCAGTGTTGTAAACTAACAATGGTTTTAAAACCAGTGGTAATAGACCTCTGAAACAATGAAATGACCTACTATTACTACTGGCTTCTAACAATATATAGTTTACCCTTTTTTTTTTTTTACCTGAGACTCCGGACTTTCGTTCATGGTTCCTTTTTTCTTTAGTGATCTAATTGGTCAGAGGTCGGGGTATTGAAAGGCTGTGATCTGATACTCTGAAGTGAAGTTAACTTTCTCCACAGCAGGTTAGCTGTTAAACAACACGTTACCACAAAGCTTTATCCTAGTAAAGTAAGTAGTAAGAACCAGCTTCATAGCACAGAAAATCCAGAGTTGCTATTTATCAGTCTAGATTGTTTTGGTGTGAGTCGCTGAGTGTTTGAGGTATCAGCTGCAGAGATGTCTGCCTTCTCTCCAATATAATGAACTAGATGGCACTTGGCTTGCTGTGCTCAAAGTGCCAAATGTCTCTTTCCAGAACTCATGACCTGGTTACTCAAGATAATCCACAGACTTTGTTGTGAGCAGTTTCATGTAGGAACTATTTTCGCTCCACCAAACTACACCTGTCAACCACAAGCTGAGTGCCATATCATCCTTACTTAACCTTTTTTCCACCAAAAATAGAGAGTAACTCATGAAGGATGATCATAATGATATGATCTTGACATATTTAAAACAGCTATACACACATAATAAAGAAATAATTTATTTAGTCCTGATGTTCGCTACGATTGCAATCACAAAAGACACAAGCATAGGCAAGGTGTGAGCCAGCTTGGCAGATTACAGCCTTTTCATTGCAGTCTTACAATGGTATAAGATTATTTGCCAAAATCATGCCCTGAACACTTCATTAGATGACTGAGAAAAAAAATCTTGGAAAAATATCTTGTTAACAGCAGGGCAAGCTGACTGCTTTTTCCATTGTCTTATCTGTATAAAAGGAAAAAGACATTCAGTCAAAAAACTGCACCCACTCTCTTCTATAAATTAAAGGGCACACTTCCATAAAATGATTTACAATCACTTTCTTTTGTACATACACATTAAAGGTTACAGAGTTAGCCTTTAACTCATACAGCATAACCCTCTTCAGATGTTTACGTTACACAGGAGCTATGGACACTAAGAGCCAGGACATTTGAGAGCAAATTTAGATGCAAAAAAAAAAAAAAATCACAGTACAGGCAAACCTCTACATGCTGTATTTCATGAATGTTGTCTGAAGAAAACATCAAGTTTCACTTCTTCTCTGCTTTACACACAGGCTGAAACATCACAGGACTGAGCATCCTGTGCAAAAAGCTATTTTAAAAAAGTAACCACAGCAGAAACAGCAGTCTCTTTACTCACAATGTGACGGTGCCATTTTGTTTTCGCTGCACGTTCCAGCAGTCAGTTGATTTGGTGTGAATGACAATATGAACGGTTTTACTGGGGATAGAAACCTATCACCATCCAATTCTTATAATAAACTTTTTTTTTTTTTTAACATCATAAATAACACCATTTCCCCTTTAGAAAGAAAACGGAATAATTTCTGCGTATCTACAAAAACATCCTGACAAAAACACAGGATACAGAAGAACATTAGTGTTCAACACCCAACAGTGATGACCATCTCACTTCATCCAGTTAACTGCTAGGTGCATTAATTGCTCACACTAGGCAATTAAAGATGCAGCAAGTCATGGGGAATGGGGCATAAACGCCAAACTTGGAAAAAAAAAGAATCACCACAGTTCAAAGCCCATAGCATAAAAATATTAAGAAAATCTCCATAGGTGTAACCCACAAGTAGTTTATGTTCCTTTACAAAGAAAACATATGCTGTTGAAGACCTGTGCCCACATTCACCTCACAGCCAAAACTTAAAACTATGTACGACATCTGACAAGGTTACTATGTACATAAATACAAACAAAGCCGGAAAACAATAAGTTAAATATTTTCTTACAAAATCTGCAGATTGTGTACATACAAAGGCATGTGGACAGAAGTTTTCCAGCACGAAAACAGGGAAAATGTACACATCCAAATAGTCATTTCTTTGTCCAGTGCTCAATGTCTCTCTCCAGTGAGGGGAACTGGTAGGACAGAAGCATAGCCACTTATGAACACAATATCACTATGAAGCCAAGCACCATCCAAATCCTCTACTAGCAGCTGGTGCTCACAGTGTCTTCAGTCATTCCTAGTTTCACTAGGCTTACTCCTTCTATGCTAAAACTCATCCATGGCTTTAGTTTCCTTACGTCAAACACATCTAGACCCTCCACAGTGTAGCCATGACTGCTGCTCGAAAACATAAGTGGAAAATTCCACTTGGACTAAATCTAGGCGATGGTGAGATGGAGGGTCTGAGAAGGAAACTTGTTCCCTGGAGAGATGCTTTTGGCGCCAGTCCGTTACAGTGTCTCTTGCTATCCCGTGCTTACTTTGGGGACAAATCCTGGAGGGAAGCGAAGGGCGAGTTGCTAGACGACGAGGGCGACACTCCCTCCATTTTGCCTGGCGAGTCTGTGGAGGAGCCGATGCTGCTGAGGCTGCCATCCAACAAATCTGGAGAGTGACTGAAAGAAAAAGGCAAGCTCAGCAAGACAGCAGGCTAACTGTGGCAAACATGTTGTATTACAGTCTAAACTTTTACTGTGAGGGAAGGAGCTAATGAAAAACTCAGAGCCCATTTAATGTAATTTTTTTTCCTTTTTGATACGAGAACATTACCCTGTAAAACAAAAAAAATATGCTTAACAGTCACAGAGTCCTGACATTCAATGGCAGTGGCTGATGTTTTCCTGTTGTGTCACATAAATTCTGCTTGGGCAGAAAAAGCAGGGCTTGAGACTAAAGCTGTGTGTTAAGTGCTTGTTAATGTTAGTTGTTTGGTCACCAGCTGCTAGGTTGCAGAGAGTTAAACTCTGATGCATTCAAGCTATATTCAGTAAAAATTATCATTGGGTGAAGGCAAATACTAAATTATCATGACTTGTTCAAATGTAATTTTGTAAAATGTAGTTTTGGTGAGAACCTCAATCAAATACAGCTGTTTGAAGGAGAAATGTGTTGATGTTTTAACAGCAATATAAAACAGATTTTAGAGAGGGAATTAAGGTGTATTATATACTTTGAAAAACTTTTCAAGCGGTTCTTTACAAAAAAAAAAATCATCTTTTAAAGTTGTATTATTGAATTTGTGCTCATTCAAAAATAGCATTGAGACTGAATGACTTAAAAACAGTTTTTTTTTTTTTTTTAAAATAATGAAGATTTCTTTGTTTCCCTGGCAAAAAAGGGGGACTAAAAAACAACAACAAACCTTTAAAACAACAATAAAAACAAAATTAACAAAAACAAAATAATAAATTGGTATCGGTCAAATTGTTACCTTAAACATTGGTATCTGTATCGGCCCAGAATTTCATAATTGGTTTATCCCAATCATTCAGTGATGCAGTTTTGTCTGAGCACATGTCATGCCTGTATATGAAATACTGTGTGCTGATGTTTATTACTGGGTGAAAATACAAAGCATTTTGAACATTTTCCCACAGTTTTATATCTCCAATTTGAGTCAATAACTTGAACACTATGCAAATGTTTTTAACAGATCATGATAAACCACTGCTCACTGCCCTCACAATCTCACCTTGCTTCAGTTGACTGAATAATCTCAACTGTGTAATTTTGATCAGTTGTTCTGATATTTTTTGTTGATCCACAAAGTCTTACCAGGAACTGAGGTCTGACAGGTTGGAGACATCAGAGGACAGCATGGTGGTGGTACCCTGGAAGAGCCTCTTGGGCTGACTCTCTGTCTCCATCTCACCTGCAGAAAAGGGAACCTGACATCTATAAATCTCAATACACACGTGTTGTTGCTCTAAAAGGGACAGTTGGATGAGTGTGTTTTATTTCATCATTTTAATTTCAGATCTCATTAGCTTATTACCAGAGCCAGTGCAGGCAGTTGTTAAATCTTTAAAGTACAATGTGAATGCAACAAAATCAAAAAGAGAATTGTGTGAACTTATTAGCAGAGTCCAAGAAAAGCACTTGACTAGAATAAAAAACCTGAATCATAAAACTGTTCAACAAGAGACATCTAAAGAGATTTAAACAGGTTTAATGTTTGAAGAGGATCCCTAAAAATAACTTAAGCTTTAGACAATATGAGAATACTTTCAAAGCATTCAGTGAAGCATTTAGAATTTCAAGACGAGTCGGGTACCTCACCTTTGCGTTTCATCGGCCCAAGTATGCTGGCTCTGATGCAGTTGATTGGGCTTTGACTCCGTCGGCTGAGGAGCAAAGAAAACAAACTTTGTCAAACCAGTATATTTTGAAACTCAGCCACATTCAGCAACCATCAGCAGTTACACCTGTCATCTGTAGACTTCTCAGACTAAATGATGAAAGTTTGATGAAACTGTTGCAAAGTGCATTACAGAAACTCTTCCTAACTACTATTTTCTACCATGTCTGGCAAAGAGAAATTACAGTGAAACAGGAGACAAATGGTGTTACTGAGAAGGTAATCAAACTGACTTTGATTCAGCACAGGAGTAAAGTAACACTAGTAGATTACAGGGTTATTAACTGCAGTTACTAATTACAGGCTTGTTGCTCACCTGAAACGTCGTGTTGGGCTGGGTATTGGGCTGGGTGTTAGGCCATTACTGCTTACAAGTATTTGTAGTGAAGGAGAGAAACACTGCTTCTTGAAAGAAAGAGAAAGATGCACAAGATTAAAACAGATTAAGGCAATACTCTAATTATCTTCCCTATTGTGTTAGAATATTTCATAAGTTACCTTAGAAAAATTAAGGTTAAAATGACGCAGGCAAAACCCACTTCACAACTTTCTGATTAACTGTGGCATACATAAACTTTTTTTTTTTTTTTTTAAATCCAAAAAAGTACGGAGCTAAAAAGGAATGGATCACTGGAAACACTGATGTGGCTTGACTTACAATAAGTACAGTCTTTTTTTTCAAGCTGCAGGAAAACAAATTTACAAAAACAGGAAAAAAAGGTTTTGTTGTTCTGCTGCTACTAAATTGCTTCCTGCAGAATGCCACACAGACCTCCATTAATTAATCTGATTTCAAGTAGTTAGGAAGATCAGGTTACCGCAAACCATTAAAATGCTTTAACTACTACCTTAATGTGCTTATACACAGTATAATCAGGTTATGGGCATGTAAACACACTGAGGTCAGATGTACCTTTTTTCCTATCCCTCTGGTCGGGGATGGGGCAGGCGACACAGGCACAAAGTCGATGCGCTTTGGAGACGAAGATGCAGACTTCTCCAGGTCATTGTCACTCTAAGAACACATAATTACCAAACACATTAGCTACCGTGGTATCTTACATCATATTTCTACAGTACAATGCAGTGAAGTAGTAAAAACCATTCAAATAGAGTGTCGGAGTATTATACTACCAACTCAGCCTGACCTTCAAAGACTGGTGGCCCTGTTAACTCCAAATGTTTTGTTAATCTAGCATGTTTGTACTTGTCCACTCTACAGAAATAGAGAGGCCAACAGTGGCCCAGGGCCAAAACATGTGGTGGGAAGGCAAAATAAAGTTGACTTTTAAAGGATTCAGGCAACAGAACATGTCATGGGCAGTGACAGGGGTTGGATAAGCTGTAATGAAGAGTCACTCTTTACCAGACTAAGGCTTTCTTCCCAGGACTGGCTCATTTGCATGGCAGCTTGAACCTCCCTGTGTGTACAAAAAACAAAGAACAAGGAATTATTTTAATGGCTTTAGCGTTTAACCAACAACAAAGCATCAAACAGATCTCTTTACCCACCAATCCCATTCATAAATACACAGCTTACCGCTCATGGGCAGTCTCCCTGTTCATCACATCTACTCCCTCCTCCTGCAAGAGCACACAAGATGGTTAATGGTTAGAAAGTCTTAGTTTAAGTCATTTTAGCTTTTATGTATTGCATATATTCTTAACAGATTTCAAATGTAATATCAAGACATTATTCTATCTCATGCCTTTGCAGTAAATCTTAATTCTGACTCAAATGTACACCCTTAATCTAATCTTAAAAGCTAAAAATGTTAGTGTTATTCATTTCACTTATGGAAATCAAATTCAACCACTGGACACCTCAGAGTAACTATTTCCTCTGTTGGAGTCTGATACTACCAATGGATCAATTCTGTAAGATCGATGGCCCTGTAGACTCCCCACAAAGTGTTACTCTCGCATGTTTTTTAGACACCATCACTCCCTATGGCTTGAGAGGGAAACAGTGGTCTGACATGCTCCTCTTCAACATTTCCAAAACAACACTTCTTGTTCTTACTTGTTTTATTTGGTGAAGTCTGGTGCTGGGGACGCGAATAGGTGATGAAGGGACCTGTAAAGAAGGACGCATGTGGAGAAGACAACATTCAACATGGAAGGATTCAGACACATGACTCAAGTAGACATGTCTAATGTAAAGTATGGTACCATGTTGGGCCTGTTGACAACTGTAGTGCTATTTCTCCGGCTGCGCAGGACCTCTCTCTGGAACACTTGGGAGTTATCACTGGAATGACAAATTCACATGTCATGTGTCTCCTACCCATGAGGTCAGAGTAATGCAGTTACATCAGTGTGTATGAAACAGGGCAAAAACATGAACTGAAACACATTGCAGTAAATGAGTGTAACTATGACATGTTGTAGAAACCTTAAGCCATTTATCATGGGTGCACTGTTGGATCGTCTCAAGTGTCCATCGGTCTGAACTAACGAAGATGGGATCTCCAGATCCAGCTCCATCTTTTCTTGTGGCAGGACTCCTGAATTGTTCATTTTGCTAGCTAACGCTGCCCGCCACCAATTCATGAACTTAAAATGGCTAACGTTAACGTGCTCAGTGGTGTTACATTGTTGCTCTCCAAACTTCACTAACTTACATGATCTGCAACAAACATCATCAATCAGGCAACTGGGCTGACGTGAGACAAACTAGCTTAACGCAATGTAGTTGACCCACTGCAATCTGCAAGGCCCTGTCGACTATGTAACTCCGGTGTTGAAGCAAATTAACACTGGCTATCACTCATAACAACAGTATCTCTATAATCCTTCATATCACGACTGTATTATCAGCCTGAACTGGCCTGTGCTAACGTTGTCTGTAACGTTATGACCAGTCACAAACTTTCCTGATGGATGGTGTTAGCATGCCATGGCTACATACCGCACAATGCCCGGTAACTGATAGCTACCGCCCCGTTAGTCTGCTGGTGCACGGCAGCAGTGGGTGACGACTGAAAGGCTACTGAGCCCACCTACCACTGCATGTTAGCGCGCTAAATTAGCTACCGTTAGCCAAACTGACCAGCTGCTTACTTTGAGTGCAAAATAAAATGTTCGTCTCGAGTCTAACGTAGGTGACGTTTGCGTTTATCTAACGACGCTGCTGTTTAGATTCTCATGACGCGAGTTTACCTTCTAGCTAATACAAGCTAGTGTTGTGTAGCTTGTTTTAGCCACTGCTAACAGCGCAGCTACATAGCCTGCTAGGCTAACTAGCTAAGTTAGCATTTGCGCCGATAGCCACAATGCCATGTCCACAGAGAGGCCGGGTAAACATTACACCAACTAACTGTTCCTGTCCGTCAGCCTGATAGTTTCCACGGCGTACAGAAGTAAACTAAACCGTGTGTGCTGGAAATATTATTCGCTCTGCTATTTCGTTTCTGCGGGGCGCCGCCAAGAATGAAGCAGATCTCTGTTGGTCTCACAGGAGCTAGGTTAGCCGCTAGCTGAAAACTTCACGCCCCTTTTAACGTTAGCAGCCCTGTCCAATGAAACCGCCTTATTTGCCGGCATGCTCAGGCGGAATGGGGCGACCTGCATACCTTGGTTCATGGATAAACTCTTACACCACCTGAAATGTAAAATGTGTCATCACAGTTTAATATGACAAATCCAGTTATTGTTTTTACCTTGTCCCCTGGCATCTTGCTTGCAGGAGGCCCTGTGCAGATACTCCGGGAGGCTTTAAGTATGGTTTATCTGGCACATATACTGTTTCCCCAAATCATTTACAGCAGCCAGTCACTCCACTGCTCATATGAGGGTGTATTTCCCCAGTAAAATCAACTCAGAGTATTTACAGTGTTTGGTTTAATCTTACAATCCCAGAGCTTTGTGCCAAAAACCAAAGCACTGATTCAATATTAATCAGATTAAAACAAGTAAATATAAGTATTTATAAATATTTGAATAGACATAAGATGATAAATCATTTACATGTATTTAAATTATTCAAGGTTTCTTGCTTTCGAATAAGCTCATATAATAATTGGATACATTAAAGTGTGAGAAAAATATGTTTTGCATTACCATTTGTTGTGTAAGAATGATAGCCTTCAGCAAGTATTTATTTCAGTCAAGTGTGTAAGCTTTTCTTACTAGGAAACTGGGAATGATGTTAGCTCCCAGATGTGACACTTATTAAATCACCAAATACTTTTTTTTATCTTATCTGCATCACCACTGCATTTCCCAGTATTTTCACTATCTATAAGCCAGAGATGATTTCAACGATCCTAGTTTTTGATGTTATATTGTATACAAAGCTTTGTAGTGAAGTCCACTAGTCTCAGGATGGGTGTGAACATTTAATAGCTGGATTGTCAAATTCAATTGACACTGATTTACAGTGATGGCACCACTGAATGGGAGCATTTTATATAGTAGAAATGTAAAAAACAAATAAGCTGGTTAAATTATGTCTGACAGGTAAATACAGATTAATTATTTAAAACATAATTGGATAACACATCTGTAAACTGCACATATTTTTTTTCAGCATGAGCAAGATCTCTGAACATAGCACCATGCAGCCATTGTCTTTGTGTACCATAAAACATCATTAACACTCATAAATAAAAGGATATTTCATCTTCAGCATATCCATGTGTTTAATTAAGGACATTTGTGTTACTGTTCTCAACAATGTATCTGAAGAAACTCTGATCACACACCAAAGTAAAACAGAAATGTGTTTTGTCCCAAAATATATATACAGATTAAAAGAAAATTTGACATCCTCTTTAAGAGTGCCCATAGGAGAGCTGTGATAGCTCAAGGTAAAAGTAGAATTACAATAAAAGAGATATTGTGGCACCACAGTTGTGATATTCTACTTAAAGCTAGCAGCATTGCTCTGAATAAATTACAACATTGCTTTAAAAAATTAATCAGTGTGGGGGCACAAAAACATTATGCTTATTTCAGGTGAAGCTGTTCAACCCAGACATTGTTCAATCTAAGGCTTCTCAAAAGCTGAACTGAGTGTGTGTCAGGATTATCACTCCAACAGTGAATCCCCTGGGACCCTGAGCAGGCTGAGTATTTTTACGACACAAATATGAAGTAATAAAATATAAAATGGACCGCAAAAGTAAAAGATATAACCATACATTAAAAATTGTTTCGAGGTGCTCTTCATGCCTTGTACTTCTCCTTCCCTGTTTCACTAATGACGCAGATATGCTGAAACAGAAAAAGGATCGATGAGTGTTGCAGCATGTTATTGATTCATATGTTTGTTGTCCTGGTTAGATAAAAACACACAGGTACAAACTGTTATACAAAGTCTAATGAGCATGAGACATAAGATACTTTACATACAATGTTCAGGGTTCCCACACATTTTCATTTCAAAATTACTTACTTTTCCAGACTGAAATTTCCAGACTCCCCAGTAGATTTTACAGACTGTACTTGACATCCCATTACAAATAGCTACATATTCATTAACCTTGCCAAGGGGATGTCTTTGGTTAGGCTACTGGCCTGATTTTCATGAAACTTGGTGGAAGGGTGTAGCATGGATCAAGGAAGAACCATTCAATTTCAGAGTGGATCCGAATCACAGGGTGGACAAATAATTTTTCACTTTTGTTAACACTGTGAGATTTGGCAGAGGTCTGTACTCTCTGAGTGATCTTCTAGTTAAGTAAATAAATTGTTTAAAAATACACCTGTTAACATGTACGTTACAGTCTGACTACGTATGCTATGTTGCCAAATAATTACCTTCAGATTGTAGCTAGCTACTTTAGCTCATAAAAACAATTAACACTGTTTGGTCCACACCTCTACGCAGAAAGTTGGACAACATTTCAATGTCAAAACGTCTCTGCCCTTAGACAAAGTAAACTAACCTGTGTGACATACAGTACAGGCCAAAAGTTTGGACACACCTTCTCATTCAATGCGTTTTTTTTATTTTCATGACTATTTACATTGTAGATTCTCACTGAAGGCATCAAAACTATGAATGAACACATGTGGAGTTATGTACTTAACAAAAAAAGGTGAAATAACTGAAAACATGTTTTATATTCTAGTTTCTTCAAAATAGCCACCCTTTGCTCTGATTACTGCTTTGCACACTCTTGGCATTCTCTCCATGAGCTTCAAGAGGTAGTCACCTGAAATGGTTTTCCAACAGTCTTGAAGGAGTTCCCAGAGGTGTTTAGCACTTGTTGGCCCCTTTGCCTTCACTCTGCGGTCCAGCTCACCCCAAACCATCTCGATTGGGTTCAGGTCCGGTGACTGTGGAGGCCAGGTCATCTGCTGCAGCACTCCATCACTCTCCTTCTTGGTCAAATAGCCCTTACACAGCCTGGAGGTGTGTTTGGGGTCATTGTCCTGTTGAAAAATAAATGATCGTCCAACTAAACGCAAACCGGATGGGATGGCATGTCGCTGCAGGATGCTGTGGTAGCCATGCTGGTTCAGTGTGCCTTCAATTTTGAATAAATCCCCAACAGTGTCACCGGCAAAACACCCCCACACCATCACACCTCCTCCTCCATGCTTCACAGTGGGAACCAGGCATGTGGAATCCATCCGTTCACCTTTTCTGCGTCTCACAAAGACACGGCGGTTGGAACCAAAGATCTCAAATTTGGACTCATCAGACCAAAGCACAGATTTCCACTGGTCTAATGTCCATTCCTTGTGTTTCTTGGCCCAAACAAATCTCTTCTGCTTGTTGCCTCTCCTTAGCAGTGGTTTCCTAGCAGCTATTTGACCATGAAGGCCTGATTCACGCAGTCTCCTCTTAACAGTTGTTCTAGAGATGGGTCTGCTGCTAGAACTCTGTGTGGCATTCATCTGGTCTCTGATCTGAGCTGCTGTTAACTTGCTATTTCTGAGGCTGGTGACTCGGATGAACTTATCCTCAGAAGCAGAGGTGACTCTTGGTCTTCCTTTCCTGGGTCGGTCCTCATGTGTGCCAGTTTCGTTGTAGCGCTTGATGGTTTTTGCGACTCCACTTGGGGACACATTTAAAGTTTTTGCAATTTTCCGGACTGACTGACCTTCATTTCTTAAAGTAATGATGGCCAATCATTTTTCTTTAGTTAGCTGATTGGTTCTTGCCATAATATGAATTTTAACAGTTGTCCAATAGGGCTGTCGGCTGTGTATTAACCTGACTTCTGCACAACACAACTGATGGTCCCAACCCCATTGATAAAGCAAGAAATTCCACTAATTAACCCTGATAAGGCACACCTGTGAAGTGGAAACCATTTCAGGTGACTACCTCTTGAAGCTCATGGAGAGAATGCCAAGAGTGTGCAAAGCAGTAATCAGAGCAAAGGGTGGCTATTTTGAAGAAACTAGAATATAAAACATGTTTTCAGTTATTTCACCTTTTTTTGTTAAGTACATAACTCCACGTGTTCATTCATAGTTTTGATGCCTTCAGTGAGAATCTACAATGTAAATAGTCATGAAAATAAAGAAAACGCATTGAATGAGAAGGTGTGTCCAAACTTTTGGCCTGTACTGTATATTCATTTCATTTTCCTTAACATATTGAAAAAATATTTCATTACTGTTTCCCCCACATTTTCTTTAGTTTCTTTTATATATAAGAACCAAAAATCAGTTGAAAAAGGTGAAATAATGTAATTTCGACAGCATCTGTGCCGCCTTGCTCTTTCACTGTGTCCATGGAAACGATAGAGAACACAGATATAATGGTTTCCTTGAGCAGAAAAGACAGTCCATTTCATTTCCTGATAACTATATGGCTGCATAATTCGTGCATGTTTAGACAAGCTTAATATTTGGTCATTTGTGATGCTATGTTTATATGCAATTCAAAGTTAACGCTGCATTTTCTTTCAAACTAATTTGGGTGTGGATGTCTGGATTTGGTTCAGTTATAAGGCACTTGGGGTAGAGCTGTTTTGCAGGCTCTGATGTACGGGCGTAGATGCAGCTCTGCGCAGTTGCAAGCCATATTTCTCTTTTTACTCTGGACGACATCAAGCTCGCTCTGACCTGCATACTTATCCTGGAAATTACTAAAATCGAATTCCATATTTTTCCATACTGTGTAGGAACCCTGAACGTTTCTTTATCTATCTAAAATACTTACATTTAGATCTCTAAAGTATTCATTGTAGTCTAGCGCGTATCCCACCACAAATTTGTCAGGCACCTCGAATCCTACAACTAAAACAAACAGGCAAATAAATCAATTACTTATCTTTGTAGGGATACACTAATTACACTTAAATGAAGGTATTCAAAAAGTACACTTTGTAGCAGCTATATTGTGTAACATGCATTATACTCACTATACACTTCACAAATAGTCTACAAACATTTATAATCTCAAACTTACAATCTGGTCGATAGCCAACACTTCTTGGTGTTCTCTTCACCAACAAACTAAGGACAGAAACCAAGTTGATCATCAATCATAATACTGCTAGCAGCACAAAAGACTGATAAGAAACAGTCTGAGATAGCTTGTCAGTGAAGACCACCACTGTTATGAAACAGTCAGAAAAACAAGATCATAATTCCACTAGACAAAGTAGATTGTGCTCAGAAAGCTTATGAAGGGATCAAATTACCTTGCTACTTTAACCATTTTGGGATTGTACTGTTTGAGGAGTTGCAATAATGTCTTCATCGTCTTCCCTGTGTCGATGATATCCTTGAAACACAGCATGGGAGAAGCTCGTATTAGCGGTCTTGAAATAAAAAGTGGTCTGCTTTACTATAGAAGCAAACATCAGTACATACCTCGACGATCAAGACATTCTGTGTAAAAAGAAAACAATCATATTAGCTTAAAACATATGTGAAAGCACTGGGTTTGCACAGTCATGATTATTATTATTTTAATAACCTAATCAACAAACTTGTTTAAAAAAAATACTCTGATTATCAATTAATTTAAAATGCCTGCTCATGTTGAAAATAGTGGCAACTTACAGTAAGATATGGATAACAAGAGCAGTGAAATTTGTGTCACATTTTTAAGTTCACAGAATTTTAAGTTACCATTATTAAAACTAATGTTGATCACGGTGTCAACATAGATTGTTTAGTCACAATCATGCTGCCCTCATTTCTTCTCACCTTGCCTGTCAGTGTAGACAGGTCATCTCCTCCAATGACTTTGATTTCACCTGTCGACTGGTCATTCTGTGGGGATAAGAGTGAAGTGGGCGTGTTACAGACCTCACGTTATATGTTTTACAGGTGCAGAATGTGTATCAAGGACCAAAACTAGAAAACATGGTGGTTAACTTAAAAACATCACAAACTAAACTTGTTGCACATTAAATTATACATGATGTTATCCATCAAAATGTACAAATCCAGTAAAGTTATCTTGACTGTCGGTGTTTTCATTGAAACACATTTTGTGTTTCCATTCACTCAAAAAAAGCTTTCGGGCTTGGTGGAGGTGGAAAAGTGGTTGTACCACTAAAACTAAAATGCGAAAAATTAGGATGGAAACAGACTAATAGAATAAATCTCAATGCACATGAAGCATGTGACTTATCTGTCACTTAAAGTTTCCGCTCCACTGGAGAAACAAAAATAGCGACACACAAAGCAGCACGTCTGTGTGGACCAATGAGGAGAATTATCCTGAAATTAAACACGTTTCTACATGGTTTTCCACCATTTCAGATTTGACTGCCACACTTAATTACACCATCTCTTTATGCTTTCTTTCCCTGCATAGTTCAGTGACCAAAATTGCACTATAATCCTACTAGTGGTAAAAAGAAAAACTCAACATGGTGTCTTAAAGGAATACTTCACCCACCAAATGACCATTTGAATATCAATTAGTCACCCTGTGTTACCTTGGATTTGTGAATAACACTGTTTTTCTCACATGCCTCCACAAATATCCAACAAATATCCAAAAACAGTGAAAATTCTTGATGAATTGCATCATAGGGGTCCACATTTAACAAAAGCAAAACAATATAAGAACATCTGTTTACAAACTCTCACACAAGTTGTGCAGTATCATCCAAGTCTCATGTATCAAGTCGTATGCTCAGTACTTCCAAAACAGACAGTCCTTTGCAAGGGGGAACTGAACTGAGTTTATCTATGCTCTCTTCAAAGCCAGACTCCATTGAAAACTAGAATACTGTATGCCTCTGCGCACCAGTCAAGTTTTTTTTATAAAGTTACACCCATGTCTGTGAAAACATGGAGGCTTCACACACATCTTTCTTCTGGCAGTACAGAAGATCTATACAATCAGCACTGTTTCAAGGTGGACACCCAATATTAATGTCAGCAATTCAGTATCTGACCAAATGTCTACCCTTCTGTTCCTGAGATATGACGTTGAGTAATGGCCAGATAAATATTCTTGTAAACATTATGATGTCACAGTGAAGCTGATCTTTGACCTTTTGGATGTAAAATGTCACTTCATTATTTTATCCTATTAGACATCTGTGTGAAGTTTTGTCATAATTAGAGTAAGAATTCTTGAGTTTTGTCCAAAAACATGTTTTGTGAGGCCACACTGACCTTGACTTTTGACCTATGACCACCAACTTCTCATCAGTTTATTCTCAAGTCCAAGTGGACATTCATGTCATATTTGGAAAAAATTCCCTCAAGGTGTGTGGGAAATATCACATTCACGAGAATGAGACAGATACAAGGTCACAGTGACCTTGACCTCTGACCATAAAAAACTGTCCAGTTTATCACTGAGTTCAAGTAAACATTTCTGCCAAATCTGAAGAAATTCTCCACAGGCGTTCTTAAGGTATCGCGTTCACAAGAATGGCACAGACAGATGGACGGAAGGACAACCCAAAAACATTATGCCCCCAGCTACAGCTATCGCCAGTGTGGATGCATATAAACAGCAATCTTACCACAATGAACACGGGAACTGCTGGTCTACCACTGCCTCGATTGGTACTTTGTATTACTGTGAATCTGAAAGAATCCTTTAAAACACCAATAAACACTAACTAACTAACTGACTGACCAAGACAGTGGTAGATCAGCAACTCACTTGTTCTGCGGGGTGAAAATACTGTTTTTGTTAATGGAGTCTGTCCTTGAACAGAGTATAGTATAAGTTTCTCATTCAGTTTAGTTCCCCGTCACAAAGGGCTGTCTGTGAATGGATGCTGTTTCTAAACAAGGACCCCTATGACTTCAATTTATCAAGAATTTTCCATGTTATTGTATTCTTTGTTTAGCAGGCGCTAACAAAATGTAATACAAAGTGACTGTTTTTTTAAAATGTGCAGTACATCTCAGCTGACACACAAAAACGAAAAACAAAAACTGATAAATTACACAGTAGCTCTTGAGGCGAATGAAGTCCACTGTCATTGGGATGGAACGGTCACTGTTCCTGTTCAGAGCCTTGATGTAGTCCAGCAGGTCCGCAAAGAACTTGTAACCCCCTTTGAGCACGCAGAGGGCCACGATGTGGTGCCCCCCCATTTCCTTCATGATCTCTCTGGCCAGTCTCTCTGTCCTGAGGTCACGTGGGAGCCAGAGAGAGAAAGAGAGAGAGAGGACAGTCGGCTCAGTTTTCTGCTTCAGTCAGCAGTAGTTCCCATTTCCTTTCTGTTAGTGTCAGCAGGCACAGATGTCATTTCTAAAGCACTCCCAACGATAAGAATGAAATACTCCGACTGAAGTACAAGTTCTTGACAATTAAAAGGAACAGTTTAAGCTACTGGAAAAAAATACTAAATGGTGCCCAACTTTGTTATGTCGACAATTCATCACATTTTCACTATCCTACCACAAAGTGCATATAAAAAACATGGCACCCCACCTGTCCAAGATAAGTCCATGTGGGATGTAAACCCTCTCCAGGTCAGAGGCGTAGTGTTTTGGTATGCAGAAAAGGTCCAGGTCATACCCCTGCTCCTCATCGCTGATCTGAAATAAAACACGACACAATGGGGTTAAAAAAATCTCAGTGGTATTACCTAACATGGAACACGGGGCATTCATCTGATACAGGGTAGTACGAGGGGAGGGGATGAGGTCAGTGGTGGTCTACTTTCCCATAGTCTCCCTCCATATATTTTTCTGCCTGCAATTTTTTTTCTGCCACAAAACACAAACTCTGAGATCAATCATTAATTCTGCACACTTCAGAAAGCAACAGACTGATGTTAATGGTGATAGGAGCAAACCATAAATTCTCTAACTGCATGCCACATGAACCCAGACAACATAACTGGTATCATGTGACAGCTGGTGGAGAGCCGGAGGTGCTGTGGGAATAATGTGAGTGACCAAAAGCATACTCAAAAGTATTTTTACTGGTGCAGAGTTTAGATCCTCCAAAGTCAACAAATTGTGATAGCTTTACTAAATACTGGATTGCAAAGTGCCTGTCCTCACATATGTGGTTGAACTAGTACAAAGCATTTCCACTTACGCCCGTTAAAATGGAAAAACATGCCCATCTGTTTAGGCGACACCCATTCAACTCCAAATAATAATGACTGATACTGAGCAGATGTCCTCATGTTTTCATTATCTGAAGGAGCATTTTCCAGTATTAGACATGGTCCTGTTGTCTGTTATTTGAGAAACAAAGTGTAAAGCAGAACACGAAAAACAACTCAATGAAGTTATCTAAGGTCAACAGAGGGGCAACCTTTAATTTCTAGTCCACATCTGACAATGCTGCACTATCCAGATAATTTCATTTCAAATGTGACACACCTCCAAATCCAGGTCAGAACTCGTAGAACAACTTTGAGACAAAAATGTGATACAGTGGGTCAAAACTCCAGTTACACTCGTAGAACGGCTTTGTGACATTAATGTGAGACGGAATCTTCCACTTTGGGAGTATCTGTTTTTTACTTGAGTTTTTAAAGTTCTGTCAACCTTCACGTTTACTCTGAAACATTTTACCTAAGCATCTTTCTAACTTACTAAAAAAAAAGGGAAGTAATAGAGGAAGGAAGGCGGGAGGAAGTAACAGACAGAAACTGAAGGGAAGGAAAAACTGAATGTTGTTCTTTAAAACTTTTAAGTTGTTAAATAAAACCTTGCTTTTCTTCAAGTGTAATGTAGGCTCCATTTTTAAGGTGTTACACATCTTGCAATGGAATAAACTTGATAACCCTCAGTTCTGAGATTCTGGTCGCTTGCTTTTTTAACTAACAGCATTTACTTGTACTTTTACTTTCAATACTAATGTACTTAAGTACAGTAAATATCAAATACTTTATCTCAAGTAACATGCTGATGGGTGCCTTTATTTACTGATAAGAAATCTGTACTTTTACTCAAGTGAGGATTTCAGGCACTTCATCCACCACTGCTTTCAATTTTTGCAAAATACGCCTGTAGCTTCATTTTACTGTCAGCAAAATAGAGTCAACACTGGCTTCCTGGGAGTGACCTGGAAAATAGAGCACATTGGTTATCTATTTACTTATTCTAGTATAGAGGTCATCGGTGGCTGGCTGTCAATATCTGTAAGACGTGTTACACAAATGCACACAGACCCCACAGAGAGGACTCTGAGCTGTAACTCAAACTGTTATAAAATGCATGCGAAGAAAAATTATTACTGGAGAAAATCTTTCCAGAAAGAAAAAGCACAAACAAACAGCTAAGCACTGCAGAGATCACACATTTTTTTTGCTCCCAGTGAGGTTTAAAAACACCAAACTGTGCGTTTTGTTTGTCCTTTCTTGCACTTTGGGGCAAATTTAAACTCTATCTGTGTGTTCATCTTGTCCTGTAAATAACATTACAGTCATGACCGTAGACATAACGCCTTAAACTGATTTAATGTCATGTTTGGACACACTTGTAGAGCCAATCAGCTGTATTTTATGCCAATTACACCAGTAACATAATACCTTACACACAAGACACATAATTATGACGCGCGAGCTCAAACACACCCCCTTACTTGCGGCTCGTGCGTTTCTTGCTGTCTGCTTGCTGTTGCTTACACTTGTATATTACACAAATAAAGCCCCTCGACTGCTTTAGGACAGAAACCCGCACATTAGGTTTGAACTTTGCACCCAAAAGCGTTTCCTGCGTCACGTACGCCAAACGTGAAGAGCGCGTGTCTGACTGTCTCCATGGCCGCGGCCCACGCTACATAGAAAATACCGTTATGCTGGTTACACAAAAACGTGTTACCACGGTGAGCATACAGGTAACACAGAGGGGTAATTTACAGCTAACGACCTGCAGTAGGTGTTACATTTTCAGCAGACGCAGCGGGGCCCGTACACAGCGTGTTGGTCCAGTGGGCATGACGAGGTACGACCTACGACCACCTTCTAGCGCTTGCACATTTTGGTTAATGGGGAGATCTTACCACAACACAGGGGCTGGATGTCGCCATGTCCGTGTCAGTCCCTGTCGCTTCGGTTTACGTAGCCTATCGTGGCCTTCAAAGAGAGAGGACAAAAACGCGTTTTTCGGTTAGTTTTGTGGGCACTTCACCCTTGTGACAGCACACACGGGGGTAGCTAGCTCCGCTGCTACAAGAGGCTCCTGTCTTTTTCCGGGATGCAGCTCTACTGTAGCTGTTGTGGATATGATGACGCAAGAGCGCGGCGGGCAAATCCATATCCGCCCCTCTGAGGGGGGGAGGGGGGTTGAGGGAGGTGCTCGAGCTGTGCGTGGAGCCGTGAAGAGGAGAGGAGTGCTGCCAACTTCTAACCAACAAAACTCATGACTTTATTTTTTATGATAATACACCACATTATTGTCATTAACTCCCGTCTTTGTATATAATGAGAGTATTAATATATTTATAAGTACCACCCGACTCTTAACTTGAAGTCTGCGTTTGGTGACCGAACATGACCCCGGACTGCTGAATACAACTACTGTTTGCCTTTTTAGGGCAAGATGAGCATTATGCGTAACGTCAGTCGCAATGTATTGGTGGGTAAAGAGACTATTTGTGAATTACCACCTTGTGGTTGTAGGCCTCCATGAACCAGTCAAATTCCACTCACAGTTTACATCCATATCTGTGAAAACATGGATGTTTAACACACACACACGTCAATTAAGTATTTGATTGAATGTCTTCACATCTGTTCCTGAGTTATGACGTTAGTTATGGCCAGAAAAGTTTTTTTGCAGAACATTATGATGTCACATTATGATATCATCTCTTTATCATTAAAACTTATTAGACATTTACGTGAAATTTTGTCATTGTTAGCATATAAATTCTTTAGTTAACCCAAAACATGTTTTGTGAGGTCACAGTGACCTTTACTTTACCCTTAAGGCCAAGTGGACATGTATGCCACGTTTGAGAAAAATCCGTCAAGGTCTTCTTGACATGTCACGTTCACCAGAATGAGATGGACGCAAGGTCACACTGACCTTGACCTTTGACCTTCAACCACTAAATTTTTATCAGTTCATCACCGAGTCCAAATGAGCGTTTGTCCAAAATTCAGAATTTGAGAAAATTCCCTCAAGGTGTTCTTGAGATGTTGCAGTCATAAGAATGAGACAGTTGCAAGGTCAGTGATCTTGACCTTTAACCAACAAAATCCAGTTAGTTTATCGCTGAGTCCAAGTGAATGTTTGTGCCAAATTTGAAGAAATTCCCTGAAGTTGTTCTTGAAGTATTACATTTATGAGAATAAGACTGCCCTCAAACACAGCTGTAAGACCTAATATATATTTAGATTGCTTCTCCCCAATTTCTCTTCAAGAATTGACCGCAGTGATTTCTTCATCTAAATCATCGTGTCTCTTAGACCCCATCCCAACTAGGCTACTTAAGGAGGTCTTACCTTTAGTTAACACTCATATATTAGATATGATCAATATATCCTTATTAACAGGCTATGTACCACAGTCTTTTAAGGTAGCTGTAATTAAACCTCTACTAAAAAAGCCCACCCTGGATCCAGAGGTGTTAGCCAACTATAGACCAATATCTAATCTTCCCTTTATGTCAAAGATCAGCTGTGTGATTTTCTCCATGATAATAATTTATTTGAAGAATTACAGTCAGGATTTAGAGTGCATCATAGCACTGAGACAGCACTAGTTAAAATTACAAATGACCTTCTGATTGCTTCAGACAAAGGACTCGTCTCTGTACTTGTTTTATTAGCTCTTAGTGCAGCGTCTGACACTATTGACCATCAAATTCTGCTACAGAGACTGGATCACTTAATTGGCCTAAAAGGTTCTGCACTAAGCTGGTTTAAATCTTATTTATCTGATCGTTTTCAGTTTGTTCATGTTCATAATGAATCATCCTTACGTACTAAAGTTTGTTTTGGAGTTCCGCAAGGTTCTGTGCTCGGACCAATCCTATTTATTCTATATATGCTTCCTTTAGGCAACATCATTAGAAATCACTCTATAAATTTCCATTGTTATGCGAATGATACACAGTTGTATTTATCGATGAAGCCAGAAGAAAGTAATCAATTAACTAAACTCCATAACTGCCTTAAAGACATAAAAACCTGGATGAGCACCAATTTCCTTATGTTAAATTCAGACAAAACTGAAATTATTGTTCTTGGCCCCAAACAACTCAGAGACTCTTTATCTGATGACATAGTTTCTCTAGATGGCATTGCTCTGGCCTCTACCACTACCGTAAGAAACCTCGGAGTAACATTTGATCAAGATTTGTCTTTTAATTCTTTTTTAAAACAAACCTCACGGACTGCATTTTTTCATCTGTGTAATATTGCGAAAATTAGGCCTATCCTGACCCGAAAAGATGCAGAAAAATTGGTCCACGCTTTTGTTACCTCAAGGCTGGATTATTGTAACTCTCTATTATCAGGTAGCTCTAGTAAATCCTTAAAAACTCTCCAGCTAATTCAGAATGCAGCAGCATGTGTACTAACAGGAACTAAGAAACAAGATCATATTTCTCCTGTTTTAGCTTCTCTGCACTGGCTCCCTGTAAAATCCAGAATTGAATTTAAAATCCTACTGTTAACTTATAAAGCTCTAAATGGTCAAGCTCCGTCATATCTTAGAGAGATCATAGTGCCTTATTATCCCACCAGAACACTGCGCTCTGAGAACGCAGGGTTACTCGTGGTCCCTAAAGTCTCCAAAAGTAGATCAGGAGCCAGAGCCTTCAGCTATCAGGCTCCTCTCCTGTGGAATCATCTTCCTGTTACGGTCCGGGAGGCAGACACCGTCTCCACATTTAAGACTAGACTTAAGACTTTCCTCTTTGATAAAGCTTATAGTTAGGGCCGGCTCAGGCTTGCCCTGTACCAGCCCCTAGTTAGGCTGACTTAGGCCTAGTCTGCCGGAGGACCCCCCTATAATACTCCGGGCACCTTCTCTCCTTCTCTCTCTCTCTTGTATTCTACTACTGCATCTTGCTAACTCAGCCATTCTGGATGTCACTAACTCGGCTTCTTCTCTGGAGCCTTTGTGCTCCACTGTCTCTCAGATTAACTCATATCGCAGCGGTGCCTGGACAGTGTGACGTGTGTGGTTGTGCTGCTGCCGTGGTCCTGCCAGATGCCTCCTGCTGCTGCTGCCATCATTAGTCATTAGTCATACTTCTACTGTTATTATACACATGATTATTATCACACATGTATACTGCCAGATACTAATATATACTTTCAACATATTGTACCACAGTAGCCAGAACTATAACGATAATATTATTACTTTCATTAATGTTGTTGTAAGCTACTGTCATTACCGTCTGTCCTGCATCTCTCTCTCTCTCTCTCTCCGTCTCTCTTTCTGTCTCATTGTGTCATACGGATTACTGTTTTACTGTTAATTTATTATGCTGATCTGTTCTGTACAACATCTATTGCACGTCTGTCCGTCCTGGAAGAGGGATCCCTCCTCAGTTGCTCTTCCTGAGGTTTCTACCGTTTTTTTCCCCGTTAAAGGGTTTTTTTTGGGGGTGAGTTTTTCCTTATCTGCTGTAAAGCCCTGTGAGGCAAATTGTGATTTGTGATATTGGGCTTTATAAATAAAATTGATTGATTGATTGATTGATTGATGCATTAGATAGACGGACAGATGTCCATACGTTTATATGAAGGCAGAGACCTCCCAAAAACATAATTCCTCCTGCCACGGCTATCACCAGGCATAACAATAATGTGAAATCTATATATTATTTCCTTTTATATTTCAAGACATGTCATTGTTGTTGTCAATATAACTTATAAATCTGCAGGTTTATCACATTTGTCATACCCTCAAAATCTTACTTGTTCAGCTAAGGTATTACCATAAATGTAAATGTTAAAAATAAATGTTACAGCTGACAGTCATTATTTGACTTCTGGCATAAACAACATCAACATCCAGGCTTTACTATAAGATTATCATTACAGTGTGGACCTGCTGATGACTTTCTTAAGTGCATAAGATAAGAGGAAATCTATGTATCTAAATGCTCAAACTCATCCATATGAAGTACTTAGAAATGCCCCAGATTGGAGCATGTTAGGCCATGAGGTGAATACAAAGGTCTGACTTCATGACACTGCAGCTAGTGTGACATTCCTCACTCCTCAAACCCTCCAGAAATCTTCACCCCACTGCTCTGTGTTTTCAGCACCCTATAGGACACACTCAAATGAAACACTCAATTCACTCAGTAAATGTGTAAAATAAAATATTTTCTATTCCAATCATTCATGGATACATTTGTAGAGATACAAGTAACAGTACATCAAACAAAGTAAAGCCAACTCGTCCAAAGAGCTCTACATTGCCCTTTAGTAGCTAAATAAAAAAATGCCACCTTGAACAGTGGGAGAATCCAAGTACATGCTGGCAAAACTTGTAATTGCGACTGTCTGAAATCCAGATATTCAAAATGACTCATGATAATACAGTAGCAAAATATTACATATCAAGAAAGAAAGGCTAACATGAAAAGAGTATTCTTAAGACATGAGTACAGAAACAAGGTAATCAAACTTCACAACTTGATAGAGAGACTAGTAACAAACAGACCCATCTTAAAAGTGAGTCTTATAGAAGCGAAGGAAGAGCAAGAATGTATCCATATCAGCAAGTGTGTGTGTCATGTAATCTGTGGGGGACATGGGCAGTGAGTGACAATCAGAAGATCAGTCCATCAGCTCTTATTCACGGAAATAATAGATGTATTTGAAACTGAGCCCGTAACTGACTCTTGGGGAGAGATTAGCCATGGCTTTTCTTTTTCCTGCAGTGGTCCAGTGCTCCGCAGGGTACCACCAGTCTGTGAAAAGCTCGGCCAGTCAACTCAAAACAGGGTTTCACATGAAGAAGACATCTGGGGCACATCGGGACATCATGTCCATTGACTGGAAGAAACCTTGTGAAGGACTCGTGGGAGCTTGTGGACCACGACTGTGTGAGTAAGCTAAGATTCATTATAAAAAATATCTCTCCCTCCTTGTTGAGCTCTTCTGTGTTCACCCCCACGTCACATCCATCAGGCCGACCTGTAAGAACGGCATCAGTGAAATGACAGGAATCTTTAAAGCTCACTTTGTTGCAATTAGCCTTTTCTAAGTCCCACTTCTTTTTGTTCAGTGCTTCAGTAACAGCTGAGCAGAGTTGGTACCCGGCAG